ACTGCATACTCCAGGCTAGCTTAATAAAAATTAATTTTAATTTTCTGAAACTATTCAATAGTGGCCTCATATTAGCATCTGCTCTGATTTTAAGTACAGAGTATCAATTTACCAGTAGAATAAAGGGTCCCAAATATTATTACAACACGACAGTTAATGAACTTTACTTACCTTCTCCAAATTCATTTAAAATAACTGCTATTTTTCTATTATGCTGTTCTGTCAAAATGTAATTCAGAAGTGTTGTCTTTCCAGCACCTGTAAAATATATTAAAGCAACAAAGCTCAGAGACTAATTTTCAAGACATACCTAATAATAGCACAGAGGACTTCACAGGAGAGATTAGAACAATCTTTGAAAACTATCATAATATTCCTTATGTATATTTTATAAATACTTACAAATAATCTTACAAATTGAGTCAGTTTTCTAACTTAATATGACTAATATGTCTGTAGCTAATAATAGAGCAATAAAGAACATCTAAAACTTATGCCTAATAAAAAAATAATGAATTATGGTTTCTAAGAAATGTCACTTCTAAAATAAACAATATGTAGATTTCTTTCATGATGCCCCCTTTCTCAAGTAAAAATACTTGGTTACTTCCCTAAATTTATTCAACCTATTGCAACGTCCATGAACTAGCTATAAATTCAGGTTGACTATAAAGCTACTTTTAGTATGTCTAAGCAGTCTATTACTATAAAACTGATTTTATAAAATGGGATGCAGAGATAGTACACAACAGACTATTCAGTAGAGACATTCGGAAAACTACACTAATTTTATCCAGCAGGTGGCATAAGAAACCTAGTTTGTTCATCTCAAGCAAAAGAAAAACATTAATCATGTGAACCAAAGATTCCAAAGTTCATAATGGAATATATATTTTCAAAAAATCAACAACACCTTAACTGCACAGCAATGTAGTTCAGTTATTGGAATGTATCATTCACTTTTCTGTAGGCAGACATTTTGAGTGTCTCCAATGTTTTACTGTGACAAGCAGTAATGCTCGAGTCTTACTCATAGTTTACACATGTCTACTAAAATACATTTGCAAGTTTCCTAGGGTACAGTAGGATAGAGTCAGGGAGTACAGGGTACTGATATCTTCAATGTTTAGGTCATTTTCCTTTGAAGAGTTTTTGAAGAGATGACACTTTGTTTTTAAAAATGCTGTGAAGCTCAACATAAATGGGTGGCATGAAGGAGACAGGTTTAAGAACACAGAACCATAAGAAAAGTCTTAAATCAAGAGGCCCTGAACATAATTATGTACAGGCCAATAACAAAGTTGAAAGCCATGAATGTAGGAGATTTCCTCCGAAGAATTTTTAGTTTAATAATTAACCACATTATGAAGAAAAAGACATCAAGATATAATCTACATTCATTCAAAGTATCTACTGTGTGTCAAATTTAAGGCTCTGCCTCCATAGAGCTTAAAAATGTTGAAGGGGGGTGGGTGGAGAACTTAGATATAAATTAGGAAGCTATTTTGTCACAAGTTGATCATTTAAGAGGAGACATACAAAATACTATGGAGAACTTAAGAGGGCTATTTAGTCAGAGCAGTTACAGGAAGAAATATTCCAAGGGGTACTTTTAAGACAGCAGTTCTCAACCTGTGGGTCATGACCCCTTTGGGAGTCAAAAGACCCTTTCACAGGAATTGCCTAAGACCATCCTGCATCCTGTAAATCAGATATTTACATTATGATTCATAACAGTACCAAATTACAGCTATGAAGTAGCAACAAAAATAATTTTATGTTTGGGGGTCATCACAACATGAGGAACTGTATTAGAGGGTTGCAGCATTAGTAAGGTTGAGAACCACTGCTTTAAAAAGTAAAATGAGCCGGGCAATGGTGGCACACGCCTTTAATCCCAGCACTCGGGAGGCAGAGCCAGAGGATCTCTGTGAGTTCAAGGCCAGCCTGGGCTACAGAGTGAGTTCCAGAAAAGGCACAAAGCTACACAGAGAAACCCTGTCTTGAAAAACCAAAAAAGTAAAATGAGTTCAATATGTTGGGCCATCTGACAGGCTAGGGAGGTAGGCAAGAACCAGACCACAAAGGTCCTTGAATTCCTGCTAAGGAACCTGAACTTTCACCCAAGTAGAAGGCACTAAAGAGTGTGACATGATCAAACTAACACTTTGTAAGGATTAGTCGGGCTAGCACATGGCTACATGAAGGAGCTGGGAGACTCGGTACTACTGTAGTTAGGAGACACCGTTAGTGTTGCAGGCGGTTTGGATTCTCAGGAGCAGGGTTTGAGGAGATATTAGTGCATGGAGTGTTGGACATGTTAAGTCTGGAGCTGTCTGTAGGACATCAAAACAGAAACTATACAGAAATGAAACTAAAGGGTGGAAGCCGGAGAAATAGGAAGGAAAACGTAGACTGCAGGTGCAACAGTGTTCCCACTATTTCCAAAAGAAAAAAATGGCAGAGGAGGCACACTGTCCCTAGGTTCAGCCAGCAACAAGGAGGTTGCTGGGGTTAGTCCTGACCCCAAGCTTCAGACCATTACCTGACTGTTCCTTTCACATACCAGTAAACAAAATGTGGACAGACAGGGGCAAGTCTGATGTGTGCTCTTTGAACAAGGAATGTGCTCAACTTCTGTGGAGTAGCCTCTGAATTCAAAACACTATTCTTTATGAAATCTAGTAAAATCTAGAATATACTCGGTCTGACTCTAGAAGAAGGAAAAAAAAATCTGGTGGTGAGAGGCACCAGTGATTTTAGTCATATGTAAAAGGAGTGCCAGGTCTCTTGCAGCACACAGGGATGAGTTAGTCACATGTTTAGTCATTTGTTGTTGTCCTCTGTTACCTACACTGTTTTAAAAGGATATTTGGAAACGTTCCCAAAGAAAAATAAGCACGTGAGCTGTCCTTCAGAAAACTGCACCATGTTGGCAAATCCGTGTTTTCGGGTATCCCCTGTGTAGCCCCAGCTTAAGGAAGTGTTCAAAGCAAAAATCTTACTCTAACTCCGCTGTCCTGCAGGGCTTTGCAAGCAGCCCTCCAAAAGAGGATATTGGGGCAGGTTACGACAGGTAAAAACTTCCCACTAATGGCTGGAAGAGTTTGGTTGCTGTGTCCTGTAAAGTGGACTCTCCTAAGCTAAGCAGGGTGAGAGGCATCTTGCATACAGGGCATCTTTTTTATTTCCTTCCTTTTTTTCTTGATCAGGGCATCTTTTAGTAACAATAGACTGTCGGTTTTGTTGTTGTTGTTTTTTCCTCTCAGCTGAATGACATTTATCATTTTCCTTCTAAACTGAGGTGGATGAGCTGCCTAAAGGTAAGAAGCCAGCGTATCACGAGGCCACAAGGACAATATGGTGAGTCTGGGTTTCAAAACCGCCTTGGAAAACGCGAGGGGAAAGAGACCCCAGCCCCTACCTCGAAGACCTTCGTCCTCGGCCGGGAGGCCCGGGTGCCTGAGGAGACACGGCAGACCCCCCTCCGAGAGCACAGGTCACGGCCTTCTCCGAGCGACCATTAATTACCTAAGTACCCGGTGATAATTGTGACTGGAATCTTAATGAAGAAGTCAAGATTTTCCTCTCCTTCTTGGTTGTTGGTCTCAATGGGAACCAGTTCAGGACAGTCCTCCTCCGCGTACTCCTCTTCCGCCGCCACAGTTTTCATAGCCGGTAACATGCCACCGACAGGCAGTACACCGCCCCTCAGCGGGAAAAAAAGCTGCCACAGTAGACTTCCTGCGACTGGATCCAGTCAGCGCCGCGCTGATGACGTCACCACGACGCGCCGCACAGCCGGACTCTCCAGCTACGCCCGGACTTGAACCAGACGCGCCTTCCCGGGGAGGCACGCCCCTCTGCCGAGATGAGCCCGCCCACACGCGCAATGGGCACGCCCCTCCTAGGGCGGGACACACCCCCGGATGTGAGGCACGCTCTAGGGGCGTGTCCTCTGAGGGCGAGCCAAGCTGCACTGTATTGTTATGACGCTAGGGGCGCTCTTGCCTCCGAGCTGGAGAGGGCTCCCTCCCGCAGCTAGCTACTGTCTGTCTGTTGCTAGGGCTGAGGCTAGGCAGGTTAGGACTTGGAGCGGCTTCACCAAAGCCGTTCCCACAGGACAGACTTTAATTACTCTCAGTAAGTCCTTTTTTTTTTTTTCATTCACAAGGAAAAGAATGATTATGAAGTCATGCTCTGAATTGTAACTTTTCTACCAGAAGGATAACTAGCGAAACTTTTTACAATTATAATTACACAGTACAGCTATCTGATCTTTTAAAATGTAGTAATTTATACTAGTTTTGTTTACTTCTTGTTGTTTACTTAGATATCAGGTAAACTCAGTTCATTATTTAATTTGATGGCTCATAATAATCCATGGAGAACGCTACTTTGCATTTGTTATAGTGGACTCCTTCACAGCACCCCTAGCCCAAAAACTTTAAGTTGTACCTCTTCTATTCTAACCTAGAATACTAACCAAAATCATGAATTTGCTTGGAATTGCTGAACATTCCTTTACATATTTGTTGTGTCCTTATACACATGCACAATAAATAATGTTTAATTTTGCTTGTTTTTCAACTTCATAAAAAGAGTGACATACAATGTGCATAATCTCTTGGGGGTTGCTGTATTTCCAGCTTCACTTCTGAGTTTCCTGTCAATTGTTTTCAGGTGTTGCTGTTTTGTTTTAAGATATTCATACATTTTCCCAACAATGGAAGAGATTGTATTGATCTAGTGCCCAGTATTAGCAGACATTAATCCTTTACCAATTACATACAAAATAATACCCCAGTGTGATCTCCAGTTGCATTTTGTTGGTTTATGAACAAGACTGAGCATGTTTTTATGTGTTTTGGGCCATATTTAATGCTTGGCCTTAGGAGGACAGTTCAGTCCAGGTGGCTAGCAAGCAATGTTGTGTCAAAATGAGGCTTTACTCAGAGTAGAAAGAGTTTGTTGTAGAACCTTATTTTAACTAGGCAAAGATGTGCTCCATTTGTTTATGCTGCAGAATATTACTTTGACTGTGTAAAGATGTGTTGCTTTTGTTAATGTTGCATTTGTTTAATTATGAAAAGATGTGTTGTGTTTGTTTCCCCTTGCCTGCCTAAGGCACCTGATTCGTCTAATAAAAAGCTGAACAGCCAATAGCTAGGCAGGAGAAAGGATAGGTAGGGCTGGCAGGCAGAGAGAATAAATAGTAGGAGAAATCTAGACTTGAGAGAAGAGAAAGGAGGAAGGAAGAGAGGGGAGAAGCCAGGCAGACATAGAGACAGCAAGACAGTAAGAAGAGGTAAAAAGCCCCAAGGCAAAAGGTAGATAGAGAGAAACAAGTTAATTTAAGTTAAAAGAGCTAACCAGAAACATGCCTATGCTAGGCCGATCATTCAAAACTAATAATAAGTCTCTGTATCATGATTTGGGAGCTGGTTGGTGGCCCAAAAGAAAATACACCAGGTGTTCAGTGTACCCCAAACACCCATCAACTGACAGATAAAGTGGTGTATCCAGACAGGGAAAAATGAGTTGGCAACAAACAGTTACAAAGTACTGGTGACCTGCTTGCTACCAGGGGAACAAGTCTCAAAATCAGGCTAAAAATAAAGCCATTCACAAAGACCACACATTGTATAAGTCCATTTGTACAGTATGCCCAGGATAGGCAAGTCTAGAGACAGAAAACAGGTCTGTAGTGGCAAAGGACTGGGAGTTTAAGAGGCACTGCTAATGGATACCATGTATATTTATGGTAATAAAAATGTTTCAAGGCCGGGAGGTGGTGGCACACACCTTTAATCCCAGCACTTGGGAGGCAGAGCCAGGTGGATCTCTGTGAGTTCGAGGCCAGCCTGGTCTATAAAACGAGTTCCAGGAAAGGCACAAAGCTACACAGAGAAACCCTGTCTCGAAAAACAAAAAACAAAACAAAAAAATGTTTCAAACTTGGTCATTATTATGGTAGAACAACTCTGAATTCATTGAAAACCACTGCGTTGTGCACATTATTAAGTCAGTCAATTTTATCTTACATGAGTTTTTTTAACTTTTTTATTTTTTATTTATTTAATTTATTTTTTACTTAAGAGCCATCATGTGCTCAAATGTTGGGAAGATTTTGTTTTTCACAGGGAATTGATGACTTTATCAATTTAAAGTTCTGATTGAGGTACAAACATAAAGCTTACAACTTGGCAAAATGGTTCCTTTAGTGTTTTTGCATATTCCCCTCTAATAAAATAATTATCTGTGCTGGGAGTGGTAGTGCATACCTTTGATCCCAGCACTTGGGAAGCCGAGGTAGGTAGATTTCTGTGAGTTCGAGGCCAGCCTGGTCTACAGAGTGAATTCCAAGACAGCCAGGACTGATACACAGAGAAACCTTGTCTGAAAAAAACAAAACAAAACAAACAAACAAAAATTATCCATTGAATCTATGGATCTGTTTTCTTTTCTCACTCTAGTAACTGAGCAGAATTTAGCAAGCATATTTCTGAAGAGCATGGTTTTAATCTAGTGACTGACTGGAAGACTCAGCGCTTCAGTTCTCCTAGGCAGCCAGGTCTGACTTTATCGCTTCTATCACAACAGAAGATTTACCATTTTTCTAAGTGAGCCTTTGTTATTATCGTTCAATTCAAAATGTCTTTTAAAGTAAGTAAAATCAATTCCTGCAAATAATATGTTAGAATATATCACAGTTTTTCATTTATCTTAAAATTCTCTCCACACTCAGCTTTGATATTTTTTATTTCCTCAAAATAAATTTACGGTAAAACAATAATAACAGCAATAATTACAATGTGTGGAGTTCTTACAATCTAATGAATATTATATTAAGCATATTAAATACATTTAACTCTACGGTAAATACTTCTTGTATGCCCACTTCATAGATGGGAAACTAAACTTAGGAAATTAAGTAGCCTGCTCAAGGTCATCCAAACAGTAAGTGACAGTCCTGTGGATCACTCCAGATCTGCCTTACCAGAAATTCCATGTTCTGCCACTCCAGGGATCTGCAAGCTTTAAAAACAACAAAATCAAACAAACATGTAATAAACACTTTAGACTTAACAGGCTCAAAAGCAAACACGGGGGCAATGCATTTGTAAAATAAAGGAGAAGGCAGATTTCTACAACCTTTAAAATTTTAATGTCAGTTTCTTTCAAACTGTGCAAGCCATTCACAACTTGTAGTCCATACAAAACAAGGGAGGCAGCAGGCTGTGGTTTATCAGCTCCTGATGTAAAGTAATGCAATATTTTCTTGCACTGCGCTAAATAAAGTTTAGTTAAAAAAAAAAAAACTCACTATCTTAAATTTGAGTTATAAACCTCTCAGCGTTTCCACAAACTCTTGCTTGGCAGTTTTGTGCACCACAATTACCATAAGCCTAGTACCATCCAGAACAGCGGCTGAAGCTCAGAAGGGTAAATTATTACATTATTTCTGCCCAAGTCGGGAGAGACCTGAGTTGGATAGTATGTGATCTTTTCAGAGTGGGATCCCTGCTAGTGGGGAGCAAAACAGATAAGCTCCCAGGGAGTCTAGACTCTGGCAGCTCAGCTGTGTGACTGTCCCCCTGCTGTACCAAAGTCCTTGGGCATATTTCCCTGTCACTCCCCATTGCTTCATTTTTCTTCCTTGGATAGTTACATCTGTCGCCATGAGAAAAGGTAAGCACTGTGCCGATCTCTAAAGCCGAGGGGAAATAATGCCAGCTCGCCTTTCTTCTTTCTGTTTTGCAACTTCCTGCATAGGGGCACTCATGGCCAGCAATAGCTCCTGGCTTAGAGGAAAGGAAACCGAGAGTTTCACAATCAGCCCACTTCTTAGTGAGCAAATAAGTAAACAAAAGAGTTTTACAAGTTTTTAAGGTTTACCAGTGTGATGCATTTTTGAGTGCACATGAACATGTTAGGGACGTATCTGAAAGGCAACTATTCTTGTGACTGCTTTAGTTAAGGTTGACTGTCGGTACTCAGTACTTGATAATCTTATGTTAAAATATACAACCACTCTAAAGAAATAATATCTCCTCACCGGAATATTGAAAGTGGATGGTAGATGAAATATGTACATTTACACGTTTTAGGAGATATGGCTTTCATGTCAAAGGCTATTGGTAATACTTTTGAACTTTGATACCTTGTGGTGGTTGAATAATGCTATTAATAAGGCTTAATTTACATGCCAGTCACTTAAAAAGCCAGCTTCCTACAAATTCAATGGCAAAACAAAACACTAATGAAAGCCTGCAGGGGGCCTAGATGAAGTGGAGCACTACTGTCTCTAAGATCCAAGATCTAAGTACCAAGCAAGGAGCTACCCTGAGCAACAACAACAACAACAACAACAACACACACACACACACACACACACACACACACACACACACACGTGAAATAATTTGTTATAATTGTTTAGGGAGCTAGTTTAAACAAACTTCTTATCAATAGAAATTTGAAGCTATCATTCATGGCTTTAAATTTTACTTTCTAACATTCACAGTTTTAAGGAAGAATACCCCAAACATGCAGGTGCTTGCTCAGTATTTTTTTTTTCCGTATTTCCTGACTGTAAACAAAAAACAAACACAGAAATGCATGAAACCTCTCCACCTTTCTTCCTCATGCTCCTGTCCCAATCTCCCCTAAAGAGTGTGACCCTCACTTAACAAACACTGTGTGTGCTACCTGACTTGGAGACCCGGGTCTTCGGATTCCTCCAACTCCCTCTGCCTAAGATCCCCACTGCCTTAGTTCCTCCGGGATGTTATAACAGAACACGGGACAGGGGAACTTGTAGGAGAATTGACTCCAC